TGTTGTGCTTTCTTGAGTATTTTAGATAAAAATTGAACAACAGTTTAACAAGGTGAATTTTAATGGCATTTTTAACGCTACATAGATAAAAGTTCAGCAGCACGGTGGCAAAGTTCAGCAGCATGGTGGCACAGTGGCTAGTACTGTTGCCTCACAGCAAAAAGGCCGCTGGTTCAAGCCCTGACTAGGCATTTCTTTGTGGAGTTTGCATGTTCTCCCCATGTTGGCGTGGGTTTCCTCTGGATGCTCCGGTCTCCCCCACAATTCCAATGACATGTGCTATAGGTGAACTGAATGAGCTAAATTGACCGTAGTGTATGTAAGTGAATGCAAGAGTGTATGGGTGTTTCCCAGTGCTGGGTTGCAGCTAGAAAAGCATTTGCTGCATAAAACATGCTAGATAAGTTGGCGGTTCATTCCGCTTTGGCGACCCCTGATGAATAATGGGACTAAGCCGAAGGAAAATAATAGATAAACATCATCACAATTAAAGAAAATACAGCTTATTAAAGCTTTACATTTTTTATGATCAACAATTATTTTAAAAGTACGAAAAGTGACTTTGCTAAACTTTACGTTATCAAAAATTGTCAAAGCAATCAAGATCCCACAATGCACTTTAAAATCAAAAATAAACTGCAGAAATAATACACAAACTGTAAATGGAGTTCATTTATTTTAAAAGCCTTTGGTTAAATATTATTGAACGTCAGTCTCTCTGTCATCACTGACTGAACCCTTAAATGTCATGATTGAGCGTCATTCTTTCTGTCATCACTAAATGAACCCAGGCTTTTTATGCAACAAAATGTCAAAACAAATCCTAATAAAAACATACAGTCCTAAATGACGCTTCTTTCCATCTCCACGTGAGGCTATAGATGTTTTTGCAATCAGTAATTAAATCACAAATACCCACCGTCAGGCATGTACGCACACAACCACGGTGCGACACACAAAGGAATGCAAGCACTTAGTCCCTTTTTCAATAAGCTCTTGTTGTCCGAACGGTGGAGCTCACTTCACATTATCAAGTTCCCATTCCAGAGGCGCCACCAATCCTCTGGAGATTACTGAATGTTCAGCGACCTGCTATTAATACTCCAGCCAATCACAAAACAAACTATTACTCCTCCAAACAGTCAACTATTTTGCTTTTAATCGCATACAGTGACTGTCCAGGAGAAAATAAGATTATTGTGCGCTTAGCTATGTGTTATCAGTTCCTCTGCTTAGCTGTTTTGTTCAAATTTACAAGCTATCGGGTTTCAGTGTAGCGTGTGGAAAGGGCATTTAGCCGGACTATATCTATCTGTGTGTGGGAAAGTATACTGTAGCACCTGTTTGAGTGTGTTTGAGGATTGTCTGTACCTTACTGTCATTTTTAATTCAACTGATTCTTGGATGCACTCAAAAAAACAAATTATTGGTGTGACCATTTATTGCGTTATTTCACTTATTTTAGGCAAGTGAAACCCAAGAGCAAAATTCATTTTGAACCATTATGGTCAAATCTTTTTCTTTTGAAATACCTTGTTAATTAAACTTGCCTGGAACATTTACTCTTTTGAAACTAATTCATCACATAATATGGAATTTTCTGTTAGTTAGTGCAGTTCAAACTTAGCAAGTGCTTTAATAATGCTTATTGTTGACTGAGACTGATCTCAGTACTAGCATTAGCAGAGGTAGGACTCATGTTTTTTTTTTACCACACTTATGGTTCAATTATTAGTTTGCTGGAAATTAGAACTGAAATTAGAAATAGTTTTGAAACAAAACTTTGCGCTTAACAAATGAAATTATATATGTAGGCTGATTGATGCCTTCAGTGGAGTGCGTACAACACTGTTTCCTTACTCCACGAAAGTAAAGGAGTAAAGTGAAAAGAAAGTAGAGCCGAATGGAGGAGGCTCATTCTTTATCCTCGCACTGCAGATGGTCTGTTAAATTGTTTTCTCGCTAGTGAAGCATTCAGATTTTCCACTTACAAAGTCCGCCATGTAAATAGCAAATGGGCCATGGCGCGACACATATTGACTCTTAAAAGAAATGGGAGATGATACTCTGATTGGTTTAATACATGTTATTCTATTATGCGCTTTAGACTTTGCACCTAGATCATTAAACAAACATTTCTCTTAACTTAAAACACATATATTGCTTTTATTGTCAATGTTTTCCCCTCATCACACTACGTTTGTCAGCATACTGGAATTCAATACCAATAGGTACAAAAATGTTTAAAAATTTCATTTCCAGCGAACATTTAAGCGCTTTAAAACTCTGTTCTTGTATCCGTGGTTACACGCAGTAAACAGTGGTGAGTTTGGTGAATCGATGACCTTCATGGCCAGTCACAGACTTTTCTGTTGAGCATGTGAACACAATGACAAATCAGCACTGTTTAAGAACCTGGGGCCTCATGTATCAACGCTGCGTACGCACAAAAACTTTGCGTACGCCAGGTTTCACGCTCAGAATCGCTCACGTTTGGATTTACTAACAATGAACTGAACGTGGGAATATGCGCAGCTTCACGGCAGCTTTCTGGCTGGCGTACGCACATTTTTTGTGCGTGTCTGTTTTATTTCCATTGGCGACTCCTAGAGGCAGTTGTCTTAAATTCCTCTCTACAAAGTGTCTGAGCCTTGCAATGGCAGCTGTATGAGACGGGTTCATCTAGTAGGTATGTAAGGTTTCCATACCATATAGTTGACCAGCTAAACATTAAAGCACAATTTGCAGCAGTCGCCTGTTTTCCCAATGTAATCTGAGCTATCTACTGCACGCTCATTGCTATAAAGACACTATCAAAAGATGAATTTGCATGCGTGAATCAGAAACATTTCCATTCAATAAATGTGCAAATAAAATATGATGCACAAACTTATTGATGATTCCTACTTGTCTTTCTCGTGATAAATAGTGGGCAAAATCTGATATGTAGCGGGGAAAAAAAGAAGAAAGAGTTCATCAGACGCTGGATTCGAGCCGAGTTTATGCTCGAATGTGTCAGTACATGATCACATGCTTCTTATGAGGTGCGCCACTGAGACTGCTATGGGTACTGCAACATTTTACAGATATAAACCACACTACTTCTTTTTTTAATCCACTCAGTGCGATGTTCAGACCCAACTGTGTTAACCGCATCAGCTAAACTCTCCCACTCTATTTTTTTCTTTTGTTGTTAATTCCGGAGAACAAACTTGCAAATAACACCGCTTTTCTCCGGTCTACCTTCGAAAGCAGCACCTCCATTTCACATTCTGTTCAAAGTTTCTCTTTTTGCTTAATTTTGCCATTGCTTTTTCGTTGGGTTTTGCCAAAGTAGAGTCATTAGCATATTCATACGGGGGAGGAGGCAGGGAGGGGTTTTGTGCTCATGCATGTTGCGCTCAGTTTCACGTTCATTCGGATGTACAAAACAATATGCGTGAGATTCGGCGTATGCAGTGTTTCATACATCTGAATTTTTTTCTGCGTACGCACATTTACAGCTTTGTGCGTACGCAATGTTTTTGTAAGATTTCCACGCAAGTCTTCGTACATGAGGCCCCAGCTCCACAGCGCTTAAATGTTTGCGGGAAATAGACGCATTTAAATATTCAGTACCGATTGGTATCGAATTCCAGTATCGTGGCAACACTACTTTAGATGCTAATCAAGCTGGAATTGATACATGTCCGCTAATAGGTAGTTACACTAACACAATTCCTTCATGCTGTCCCAACACAAATGTACAAATGAAAGATATATATAAACAACAACAACAATTGTGTTAATTCAGCTCTTTTTAAACAAGTAGTTTAAACAAGCAGCAAAAATTCTGACATGCATATTATTTTGGGTTGTACTGAAAAAGTGAATGCTGGATGTCAGATTCATGTATATGTTAAAGAGGAGGAGTTAGGAAAGGTTAGGAACTGTAGGCCAGTTTAGTGCTGACAGGCTGTAAGACTGGCATGCAGAAAATGTCTTGCATGTGTTGTGTGAACTTAAGGGTGGAGGAATGTTTTTAAAGGAATATTCTTGGGAAATTCTTTTGTGGAGACTTAGGGACTATGATGTTGGTTGGTTTGTCCACCAAGTTTAATCCAATTTTTCTGAAATGTCCAGACACTGTATGCCAACAGACTGATCTTCACCCTGTTCAGCACTGAACCAATTGTCCATTGAGATTCTCTGTATTTTCTTGACCCGCATTTGTCTTATATGACTGAATAACGTTTTGTGGGACTTGAATAATTAAGTGACATTTTAAAGACAGAATATTCTAGAAATCACAGATATGGAATGATCAACTTCTCTTGCAGTGGCTGAAAGGCTCATCCCTTTGGCCTACACAACCTGCTGTCAGAGGGTTTCAGTCACTTTACAATCTCTCCAAATTTTACAACATCAATGTAAATGCAAGTTAGGCTGACAGTTAAACGGGTTATCAGATAGAATTGGTTTTCCACCGTTAAAGGACTCTAAAAGGGAATCCACATTCTTGCTAAAATACATAATTGTTGGAATGACGTCATTAGCATTTGATTGTCTATTTGGTTTAGATGAGTCAAGCACAATTAGAGCTTCGTAGAACAATGAGACAATTGAACCACATTGAAAATACACGTCTAAGTCATTTCAGAGTCTCAGCAGCTACTTTGTACAAGCTTTCCAGTAGACTCATCCATGCGCACCTGCTCTTGTTCAGTCACACATTTACTCATGGCTCATTGTGTTCTCCAGCCTGGAATGGACCGACATACTTGCAGACATAGACCCTTTATTTGAGGTGTTGATTGTCAGTCGATCAGAGGAAATCTACTGGTTTAACAGTCACTACATTTGAAGTTCTCTCAGGGGTGTTGAAATGTCCCTCTCTGAGCACACCAAGCCCTTTTTCTTACACTCACTCTGGTTTCAGTCTCTTCACACCTGACTCTAGGATTCACACTGTAATCACACACAAGCGGCCCTCCTCTAAACGATAACAGCAACATCACTGACCAATCACAAACTGGCCAATAGGAAGAAGTATGTTGAGTCCTATAAAAAGCTTTGGATTTGAAGCTGGAGAAACAAGAGACCGACTTGAGAGAATGAGAAGGGACAGTAGATTGTGAAACGAACGTGAAGTCTAGTTAATCTTAACATTTTGTAACGTCTTTTAAAGAGTTTTATCATGAGCTCTAATCTTGTGAAGTCTCTTGCTCGGGTTTATGACCCCAAACCACTTCATGCTCAAAAACGGCATAACAGTGGAAGAGCCGGAGCAAGAAGAGCTTCGCTTTCAACCTCAAACAAATGCTCATCTTCACCAGTTTTGGATCAGCCTACTTCAAAATCTTCTCTAGTACATATTGAAGGACAAGTCAATGATCTGAGCGGTAAGATGGACAAACTCCTCGCCCTGCAGGAGGCATCTCTGAAACGGCTAGATGCCATTGGGCAGGAACATAGCACAGGTGGACGCAGTGTTGAGCAGATGTTGTGTGATGTGCGTGTCGTCATTGAAACTGTTAGAGAAAAGGAGGAACAGCAGGATCAGCGGCTTGATGCTTTGGAGCGACTGGTCAGCAGCATTCAGCAGGTTGTCAGTTTTGTTGCTGAGGCGTTGAAACAAGAGAGTTTGGCCGATCACTTGAAAAACACAAACTCAAAATCCAGCAGCAGGGTGAGTTAAAATTATTTGTGCATATTTCTGAACAGAACAATGCACACGTAATTACTGAAAAATAGAAAAAAACGTGTATAAACTACAGGCAAAAAATAACATTTTATTAAAATGTAACTAAATTTTTTGCCAAAAATTTTATTTTTACTGTCAAAAAATCATTTTACGTTAAAAAAGAAAAATCGACGAAGTTAAACAATCTAACAAATTACCTTTAGCATTTGCTGCTAAAGTCTGTGAAGCAGCTAAATTTTTCGAAAGGAGTGAAATGTATGTGAATGTATGAGTAAATTTGTTACTTTTTTTTACTCTTTAAAGGTTCTTTATTGCTATTGATGGCAACATTCTCTAGATGCAGACTTGATGCAGACTAAGCTGAGACGGCTTATCTTAGACTTGCAATGCCAGACATAATACACTCACTGGAGCTAGTGATGCCACTGTGAGTGTTTGGGTTGGGTATATTGCGCCAAGTCTGCATCCAGACCCTTCTCATTGATGGTTTCATGGAGAACCTTTAAAATTAAAAAATCTTTTCAATACCTAAATAGTTCTATAGATTTTTTAAAATGTATTTCACACTAAGAGAAAAGTATTATTTTAGGAACTGTTCAGGGAAAGTTTGTTGGGGGGAATTGTGTATTGTTTTCAAGTGGATTTACAAGATAATAAATATTTCCATGTCTTTTTGACAGTTTTTTTTCTATGACTATGAATTCTTCTCTTTTATGTGACACTTCTTTTGAAAATCAAGTAAATAGATACATAAACATTTTTTGTGTCTAGCTGCGCTGTTGTCGGCTGCATTGTCCTTGTCATTGGCTTGAGCCATTTATAAATCAGATTGACTGACGACTCAACGAGTGATTCTCAGTAGTGGCTCAAGGACACAACTGTGCATTCAGCTCAGATGATTGTGTGTGAACAGCAATATCAGATTGATTGCTCATTAGCAGCTCAGAGCAATCGAGTCAACTTTGTAATCGACAAGATTGAAAACTGGTGCTTTAATTTTAAGGGGTGTTAAAATGATCATGTGATTTAGACTGGAGTTTTATCAATTTGACACTGTGGTTAAGAAAAAATGCACTTTTAAAAATAAATCCTAATACTTTTCATGACATCTTTAAACATTTTGTTATGCATTCCTGATGTAAAATGCTCTTATTTGTCTCTCTCTAGTTTAGAGAAAAGGATGGGAAGGAGAAATCTAAAGGGTACCCAAAAGGGTTGAAAACCCAGAAGAAAAAGAAGCCACTAGATGCATCAGGTAAGAACCCCCAAGAAATCAAGGATTTAAAATCCAATTTAAATCTAAAAAACCGAATGTTTAACAACAACTAAAAGAAGGAATAAGAAATAAGTAATATGCATAATATGCTTTTTAATAGGCTTTTCAATATTACCTTTTATGATGTGTGTAAAGTTCCAGCATTAATAATGGAGCATTTATCTTCAAAAAATAAATAACAAATTTTGAACTACCTGAAAAGTGTTCCAGCTTGACTTCCTGTTTTGTGATAAATATGCTCAGTGATATTATATGGAATTCACTTTTTGCCTACAAACAATGTTTGCTTTGCAAAATCATCAAAACCATCAAACACTCTAGTTGTACAGTATCTGAGGACTAGAAGTGTTTATTTCATGTGGTCGACATGTTGGGAAAACTGACACATGCTTTATCCGTAAAGCAGAGTAGGCGGATGAGAGCAATGAAATTGCTTTTTTTTTTTTTTTTTTTACTTTTAAGTGGATGTAAACCTCCAAAACAAAATTATGAACTTTAAAAGAGCATAATAAGGATATTTTTCTATCCTTCTCTGTAGTTGTGCCCCCTTATTTCTACTATTTCTACTGCTTCTTCTTTGAGCTCATTTGTATTTTTATCCTTTCCCAGATTCAGTCCAGGCTGGTTTTGAAGAAGTGCAAAAGCTCAACCAACAGAACAATCAGCTTTCTCAATGCACAGCAGAGACAGCAGCCGGCACATCCACGCAACTAGAGATTATTAAAGAGGCACAAACAACAGAGATATTCAGGGAAATAAAAGATGATGCACAGCAGGCAGTGGTGGAAGAAGAGACAAGAGAGAAAGAAAGCATTGCAGAATTACTGCAGGTAACAGGAGAGGATAAAAAGGAGGAAGAAGAAAGAGTACAGAAAGAAGAGGATATAAGGTTAACAGAGGAAAGCCAACTAGCTGCTCCAACTTCATCTGGACAGAATGATAAAATCATCACAGCCACACCAGAAAGGTATTTCCTGGATTTTGTTTTCAATAAATGGCTTTTATGCTTGTAAGGCTGCATATCGTTCAATTAAAAGCACAGAAAAATAGTGATATAGTGAAACATTTTAACTAATTAAATTAACTGCAGCTTTAAATTATTTAAAATAAATTGTTCCTGTGATGACAAAGTTCTGATGTCCCCAATGCAATGCAAGAATTACATTGATGAGGTGCCCAATTTCTTTCAATCACTGACTGATTTTTATAGGCAGCTGAAATTAACAGGTGGAGTTTAGTGAAATTAGTCACTTGTGAATCATTCTCCAGTCCTCTATTGGCCGCACCTATACATACATCCTCTTTTTCTACAAATTCCCTACACAAAATTAAAAGCATAAGACTTCTGAACTGCACATATTCTGTATTAAGTTTCAACTTAGCTGCTGAGCTCAAGTTAATTTTAGACAATCAGGCCTTTGCAGTTCTATTAGCTTTATCTACTTCAGCAAAAATGCTTCATTAGCATGCAAATATCATGCTCAAGAAGAAGTTTAGTTAATATATCACCTTTAAGCAATACATGTACAATTGTTTAATGAAAAGAAAAAAAAAGACAAAAATATATTTAAAATATATTCCTTTTTCCACAATAATGGTTTTGTTGCTTAAAAATTTCTTATTATTATATCCTTATTTTCACGAAAACAGTTGCTGCTTAATGTTTGTTAAAACTGTGATGTATATATTTTGTGAGCATTTTTTTGGGTGTATAGAATAATTTACTAATAGAAAACTATCTCAGAATTTTAATCAGTTTAATGCATGTTTTGATAAATAAAACAAATTGTGTTAAAGTCTTTTCTGAGTCTAAA